AAATAGTAGATTTATTTTTTGTTTTCTTTTTTTTAAAGAGAGAGAGAGAGAGAGAGAGAGAATTTTTTTAATATTTATTTTTTAGTTTTCAGTGGACACAACATCTTTGTTTGTATGTGGTGCTGAGGATCGAACCCGGGCCGCACGCATGCCAGGCGAGCGCGCTACTTCTTGAGCCACATTCCAGCCCCAGATTTAGTTTTCATTTCAACTGGAATCTCTTACTGCTTTCCCTAATGACTGCACAAATCTGATTCTCACCAAGTGTTCCAGGGTTTCCTTTTGTCCACACCATCACCAACACTTGTATCAGCTATAGTGTGGATGTTGAATGTCTCCCAAAGGTTTAAAGTTTGGTCCCCAGCTTTGGCACAATTGGGAGATGGTAGAAATTTGAAGAGGTGGGGTCTAGTGGGAGGACTTCAGGTCACTGGGAATTTGCTCTGGAAGCACATAGTGGGATACCAGTCAAGTCCATCTTTTCCCTGTATTTTGCTTCTTGGTCAGGAGGTGAGTGGGATTGCTCTACTATGTCCTTCAACAGGGAGCATGCCCTAGGCCCAAAGCAACAGGGCAACTGATCATGGAGTTAAACCTCCAAAACTGAGAGCCAAAATAACCTTTTTCTCTTTACACGTTGATTATCTCAGGTATTTGTTATAATAATAGAAATCCACTACATTATCTCTTATCTATTTTTATAGCTAACAGGTGTGCGATGATATCTCATAGTGGCTTTGATTTTCCTTTCCCTTATTAATAGTGATGCTGAGCACATCATTTTCTTTTGTTTGTCACCTATATGTCACCCTTTGAAAAAGAACTATTCAAGTCATGTTCTCATTTCATTTTGGATTATTTTTTATTTTTTTGGTGCTGAGTTTTATGAGTTCCCTATGATTCTAGAATATTAGCCTTTTATCTATTATATTGTTTGTAAATATTTTGTCCTAATATGTGGGTTGCCTTCATTTGGTTGATTGTTTCCTTTTCTATACAGCAGCTTTTTAGTCTGATGTAGTCCCCTTTACTTAGTGTATGCTTTTTAGCTTGAGTTTTTAGTGGAGTTTCCAAGAAACCATCACCAAGGACAGTTTTTAGAAGACTTCTGTTTTCTTCCAGGGTTTTTTGCATGTTAAGTATTTTTTTAGGTCTTTGATTAATTTTGAGTTAGCATTTTGTATGGTATAGTGCCGCAGTCTGGCTGAGCACAATTCAGGAGCCACTTGTCAAAAGAAACGAACTTTATTTTTAGAACACACACACCGGCACCACACAACTCTTCAGAAAAACCCTCAGAGCCCAACTGCCACCACCGGCTTCCCACAAGCCTCACTACCTCCCGCACCCCTCCTGCTCTTGAGGCCCATTGGCTAGGTCACGGGGGCGGAACCAAAAAAAGTCCCCCAATGAGCAGCTCCGTGGTCTGAAAGGGCGGGGAAACAGCCCAATGAGCATCACCACAGAGGAGCCAATCATTTGGCAGCTGTAAGTTTGCTGGGGCCCCTGTGAGCCAATCATCAGCTGGCAGCTGGAAGTTTGCTGGGGCCCCTGTGAGCCAATCATCAGCTGGCAGCTGGAAGTTTGCTGGGGCCCCTTTAACTGTGGCTCTCAACATCTCCCCCTCTCTGTTTAAACAACAAGCATGTGGCTTAGGGACTGTGCCTGCCTTAGGTTGTCCAATACTACATATGGATCTTACCCGTCATCGGATGAGCTGACCTCAAGGCGTCAGCCTCCTGTCTTCGGTTGGTACCACTGCAATTGGATCTTACCCGTCATTGACTACTGGTCCAGCATACAGCCACACCTGTGGATAGGTCTTTGTACCAGCAGGGGGGTTAGGTTCTTTGCCTCACCTCTGTTGGCCCCCAAATTTTAGCTGAATGACCATCACAAGCAGAAGGGAGGAAGATACATCAAGCCAATTGACGGCTCCTTTTGGAAAAATTGTACCACCGATGACACCATCAGCAAAAATACCCCAACACTACCACAAGTCGCTGCACCAACAGATAGTTCACAATGCATACACGTGAGTTCACAATGCATACAAGTGATACATAGTCCAGGCAAGTTCTGCAAGCAGTTCAGTGATGGCTATTGCAGAAGCTGTAGATTGGTTTTATCTTTGTCTTCACCAGTACTGGGATGAAGATAGGAATTCTGGTAATAATGGCTAAAGAAAAAATTATGTAACATTCCAGAAGGCACTAAAAGAAAACAATTTTGTGAACAATTTACATTATCTTGAACAGAATTATTAAATATAATGAAAAGGAAAGGTGAAAGTAAACAAACAGATCTGTTAACCTCCTTTTTTGTTCACATATTAAAACAATCCTCAACAGCTGTTTACCCATTTTAAATTAAACCATTTAAATCATGTGAATAAAAAAAATATTTGGCTCCATTTTTCATGAGCGCTCATCATATATGATATATAGACATATGTACATACAAATATACAACATAAAACACAAGTGTGCACACATAATACATATAACACATAATAGTAAAGGCCATATAACTTTTTACAGTTGAAATCTCCATTGCAATGTTTAAAAACTCTATAGTCAAAAATAGAACTGATCAGCAAAACATTAACCTAGGTCTGTATGAGCTCAAAACATTAACCTAGGTCTGTATGATGTGAGAAAAGGTAATAATAACATAGATATTGAAAAAAGCATCCTGGTTCTGTTGCAGATGTAAGGGTAGCCAAACTGGAGTTCTGGATATCAGCTGTTATGGATTTAAACCAAATCATCTTCTTTTTGGTCTGTAGAAATTGCTTTAGTTAATCTCTCTGGAATCCAAATTGGCTGCTGTTCTCCCTGTGGAAACACACAAACAGACCCCCGACTCCAGACAATCACTGGGTCAGGACCTTAGTTAATCTCTTTGGAATCCAAATTGGCTGCTGTTCT